GGGGCTTGAACTCATGACTTTGCACTTGCCAGGCAGTTGCTGTGCTGCTGAGCTATATCCCTGGCCCTATTCTCTGGTTCCTTATCAGCAATAAAGATATGCTCTGCTCTATCTTTGCAGTCCACAGCTCTACTAGAGCTTCCATTATGGTCAAACTCACATTTTAAATCATCGTGCTGGACTCTGCTCTTGATTCTCAACATAAATCTGGTTAACCCCTGCTCCCAAGTAGCCATGTCAATGCCTGGGCATTCAACTGTCTTGAAATTTTTTCTGCCAGTTTAATTAGTCCACTGCTGTCAATCTTAGTCTCGGGCAAAATTTACGGATGTGAGCAAAATGCAGACAAACTTTCTGACAGGCCATAACATGCATTGTCTGGAGTCCAATTACCAATGTAGTCCTTCCCAGGAGAAGCCTGAACTTTACCAGCAGGGTTTCTATCAGCCTTTTGAATTCTTACTGTTATAACTTGAGCCCCGGTATAAAATCCAAGGAGGCAAGAGACCAAAAATTTAGTGGCAAAGGCTTTATTTCCAGGCCTGGCAACCAGTCTCCGGGAGCCAATTTGGAGACTGTTCCCTAGAAGCTGAAGGGAGGACTTTAAAAAGGGGCTGGAGGAAAGGGCGGGGGGAGAGAAACAAAGAAACCTGTAGAGCCATCAAACTTGTTGACCCGAGTCTGGAAACTGTATTGCTGTCCACTTAGCTCTGACAATCTAGGGAGTTTCTGGTGTTTTTTAAAAATTATTTCCATCCTGCAGACTGACATTATCTCAGAGTGGCACGTCTGCAGCAATATTTGGAGAAGAAAGTGGACAGTTAATTATCTCAGGACAGCTTGTCTTCGCTAGTGAGTGTGAAGGGGTCACAAGTTATGAGACGCTGGAACTTAAGTTTTACGAAGACCTGATATCTAACTCATTTGATACATACAGAACAAAAGGAAAGCACCGATTGGGGTTTGGGCCATAGTATTACCCGGTGATTTGTTTAAGCTAAGCAGTTCTTAAAATTGGGGCAGGCTCATTTTACAACAGATCATCACCGGGTCAGGGGGAGGTCACCAGAAACCCAAATTCTTTATGGCCTAGATAGATAGGTGAGGGGAGAGGGAGGCAATAAGGCGCCATACAGAACAGAAAACGGCGGTAATGTGTCAAGGTCAGGGTAAAGGGTTAAACTCACACGCAAATCTCTCTGCACACAAGCAGGTTACTTTAAACAAATGTAAATTAATTGCCATTTTAGTTTTCCTTAGCTCTTTAGCGGAGAATAGAGGCTCCTAGCAGTGATTAACAACCCTTGTTAGCTTGTTTTAGCACAGCTTCTGTAGTTTGTAGAGAGCAACAATGGTTAACATATCAATTAGGTGAGATTCTTGCAATTCTTTACAGAGGAGAGTGTTGCTCAACAGATCAATTAGGTCCCTTAACATATCAGTTAGGGAAAAAGGATAAAACAAACACATTTAGTAAGCCCCTATACAGGTTTGCTATAATACACATATAACAAAGCTATTTTCTTAGGGTACAACACTTACCAGTGTTCAAATCTCTCATACAGGACAGCCTAAGGTATTTCAGCTTTACCCTTTAAGGCAGTGTCTCTGAACCTTTCCAAACTCTTCCCACAAGCCATTTCCAAAGGGTCTTGAATCACATGGTCAGGTGTAGTTACAGCAAAGATACCACTCCTCTGGTACTAAACTTTGTTTTGGTTTCTCTTATTGTTGATACACAATACTCAGTGCCCCAAATTGAGGAAAACTTTATGTAACTCACAGTTGAAATTTCAAGGCCAGAAAATTTTGATCCACAATCAGCTGGCTCCAAGGCAGGGTGGCATGACAGAGGAGCAACAGTTGATAGCAGTGGAAGACAGCAAAAGCAACAAGATCAAAGGCAGAGGAGCCCAGACAGAAGCCTCTTTCCATCTCTTATATTGCATGTAGGCTACATACCCTGGGGCAAGTGGTACACTCACATCTTTAATCTGAGCATTGAATCATTTATCAATTACAAACTCTGGAAGTTAGCATGAGATTCTGGGGGAACATCTAGACATAAACTGTATCAGAGGCTTGGTAGATAGTATTCCTAAGACCAAATAATCCATTCACATGGTAAACATTGTGAACATTACAGGGAAGGTATTTTAGGCATTAAACTTCAGAAAACTTAGTTAAAACCTTTTAAAAATAATTTCACCCTTTTCTAACTTCTCTATGAAGACTGAAAAAGTTAAAATTCATGCTTACAGACACCTTGGCCCTCAGGGCGGCTGTGTAGCACAGGTCTGCCCTCTGAGAAACAGGAACTAGTCTATGGGTGTGAGAGAAAGCTTTTGATTTTTTAATACAAAGAAAACATTAGCATTTGTGCTCTGCAGATCTTCCTTCTGTCTTCCCACAGGGATTTTCAACTTAATATCTGATCGGCCTTGGTCATTTGTGCCTGGGAGGAAGAAGCCAGAAGAACCATCAAGATGCCAGCCCTGGCTTTATGAAACCACTGAATCAAAACCAGCAGCTGCCTTTTTCCCAGTTTCTTTCATTAGTGTGAAAACTGATCTCTCTATGTTAAGCCGGCTTGTCTTTCACTTGCAGCCAGAGCATTCCTGTCTGACGCACACAATTTTGATAACAAAACTATGCTCATGACTCATTTTGCCCAGAAAGTTACCATGAAGTTGCAACACTGCAAGAAGGCAAACAAAATCAAAGGCTTGCATAATTGTGTTTGTGTACAGCGTTTCTGAGCATGTTATGTATCTTTATGTAATTTCTGACTACTATACAAGGGAATATATTAAGATTAAAATAAAAGCTACCGTCTAAGCTTCATCATGGTATAGAAATGCAATGTTCTCTTTATAAAACATTAAAAATTCTGTTGTTTTACTGTGTTGACAAAATCATTTGATAACATCCATTTACTCAGACTTTTGATTATTCAGTTCAGTTTCTGATCAGTAAACAATGCAGGAGCTGTTTCTGTATTTTCCTTTTTTTTTAAAAAAAGACTTTATTGGCATATGTGTTTGACACACAGTAATCACATTCAATTTGGAGGATATAGATCTATCTATTTCATATCTTGATCATTTTTACTCTCACTGCTCTGATTTTTTCTTTTGTACTCCCTTTTTATTTTTTTCTTTTTTAGACCCTCCCTCTCTCTTGTCGTGTGTGTGTGTGTGTGTGTGTGTGTGTGTGTGTCTGTGTGTGTGTGTGTGTGTGTATGCATGATGCGGATCAAACCCAGAGCATTGTGCATATTAGGAAATTACTCTGCCCCTGAGCTACACCCAGTGCCCTCTTTATTTTACAGTATGAACTAGAACCTCATTCAGGAAAAAAAAGATAGTTTAATGAACTGCTGCAGTGCACATCCAGATGAAGAACCAGGAGGGGATCCCTTCTGCCTGTCTCCTGGACTTTCTCCCCTCCTGTCTTCTATCCAGGAGGCTGACTTGTATGGACACAATATTGCTCTCTGACACCTCCTTGAGTCTGGCTTTAAGGGACTCTGGGAGGGGACTAGACAGAGGGAAAAAAGCAATAGAGGCGGCTGTTCCTGTGAGGTCATCTCAGGCTGGCTGTATTTCTCCACTAAATATCTTCATTTCTCTTAGCACCCTTAATTTTCTCTCCTTCCAATCCCAGTCATCATGCCTTGCCCAGGCTAGTGGTGGTAACAGCTTGGCTGTCACAACTCCTGGGTTGCAAAGCCCCCCTTTGCTTTCTCCTCCATCATGTCATGAATTGTCCGCTCAATGAATCCTCCTCAAATATCTATATTTTGAGCAAGCCCTCTATGTCTGTTTGAAACTTTGGTTGATACAAAGTAGATACTGCATTGTCCAGAACAGCAGGTACTGGTCAAAAGTGACTTTAAGTTTAAATTCCAATAAACTAAAATGAAATAATATTAGAATTTAGTTCCTTGGGCACATTGGGCCACACTGCAAGCACTTGACTGCCACAAGTGCTACAAGACCATGCAGCCTAGATCTGGGACATTTCCATCAACACAGCAGGTCCTACTGGGCAGCACCGATAGAAAGGGACTGTCCCTAGTCCTCCCGTGGGGACCTTTCTTCATCTTTCTGCCTTCTTTATAGTAATCATACCCTTCGTTTTGTTCATTGTATTACCAATTTTGTCTGTATCTTAAATAATACATTTAAAGTTTTGCTCCTTTTCAACTCTAAAATGTAATTCTAGAACATGTATTTGGTGTGACTGAGAAATATAGCAAATGTCTAAATTTTCAAAAATTTTATTACAGACAGGATTACACATTGCCATAAGTGCCCTTCAACATATTTCTCCTTGCTTTGATCACATTTATGCCATTGTTCTTGCCATTAATGGCAGTTTTTTTTACTATAATAAAAATTTAAAATGTAAATGTTTACCATACATCTTGATCATTCCTTGTACTTTTACTGTTTTGGTTTTGATTGTTTCTAACATCCACGCATGTGTATGCAGTCACTGCCTACTCACTTTCATTTTTTACATAGTATTTCATCATATGAATATGTCACACACACAATAATCCATTCTACTCTTGCTTGGTGTTTTGGTTGCTTCTAGCTTCTTGTTATTACAAACTTGATATGTGCCTTTTTGTGTATTCTGCACACAGACATACATTCCTGTAAGTTAGGTACCTAGAGAGTAGAATTGAATGGCAGATCAGACATAAGATGTACAGTTCCCTCCTTGAATAGGTCAAATAGGCTGTTCTAAGTCATAGTCCTGTCAACAGACATGAATATATTCATTAGTTGCTCCATATCCTGACCAACAGTTGGTATTGCAGATATTTTATGTTTTAATCATTCTGATGAATGTATAGTGATCTCTCATTGTGATTTTAAGATTGTCTTTTCCTATTTACTAAAGATGTCAGCACCTTTTCAAGTTCAAATCCATTTCTTACTCCATATATAATCAAGCAACTTAGCATCATTATTAAAAATGATACCCTAATGGCTCTGAGTCAAGGCCAGGAGTATTCTGAAGCTATTGGTTTCAAACAGGAGCCTAAAGTGGTATCTTTCTATGGTTTGTTGGCCATTTCAGAACTTTAGAAATATAATGGCCAATTCATTAGAAAGAAATAACTAGCCTCCCAGTGAGCCTGCCACCTCAGGCCTGGATGAGAAGTTACACCTCCTAGGTGACCCCTCTGCCTTAGGACTGGAGAAAGGGAGGCCACATCCCACAGTGAGCCCACTACCGTGGACCCAGAGGAGAAGCCATCTCCCAGTGAGCCCACTACTGTGGGTCCAGAGAAAGGGAGGCCACACCTCTGGGTTCTACAGCCAGCAGGGGAACACTGATGAACAGCTGCCTCTCACCTCTCTGCCACCTCAGGAACCTAGGATCAGAGGAGCCCGAGTGCCTGGCCCCGTCCCTCCCCCATGGGATGGGCAGCCAATGCAAGAAACACCCAGGACTCAGCAATTGGCTGATTTGGAGGAACACAGAAAATCATCAAGACAAAGGAGCAGAGTTTGATTTCAGATCTTCAACTCACTGAGAACAAGTCCAGAAGATATAGACACAAAATAAATTAGAAGTCGCACACCTGAAATTTCTGAAATGGTAACAACTGAAGTACAGAAATAGAGAAGTAAAACTGAGTACTAAAAAAAATAATGATGTCTTGTGTTGTCACAGCTGTCCAAATCTAGGTCCACATATGGGTGAGTCTTTTTTATGTTCTCTGTAGCATTACCTATTGCTTTTTTGTCTATCACTGTATCAATTTCATACTGTATTAATTACTATAGATTTGATATATATATATCTTGATTTTTTAGAGCAAATTCTCTGACATTTTCTTCTTATTGAAGATCATCGTGGGTATGTCTGGCCCTTTCATTACCAGATATGTTCTGAAGTCAGCTTATCGAATTCAAAAACAAAACCTCAAATCCCACTGACTCTTCCAGTCAATGAATGTGATACATTTTCCCATGTAATCATGTTTTCTTTAATATACCTCAATTTAGTTCTATCATATTCTTTGTAGAGGTCTTATACCTTTACAAATAATTTATTTCTACATACTTAATATTACTGATGCTATTGTTTATAGTATCATTTTAAAATTTCATTTTCTAATTGCATTTGGCATAGACTTTTAATATTTGTATTTTGCATTTGTATCCAGTAACCTTGCTAAAATCCCATCTAATAATGTGTGGACAGATTTTTTTGAATTTTCTATGTTCTTAATTATGAAATTTAAAAATGACATTTTGTTTCTTTATTTCCCTTTTCCTCCCTTCCTTTCTCCTTTTTTCCTCTCTTCCTTTCTTCTTTCCTTCACCATTTAGAGCCTCCACTATACCAACAACCTTAAGCAAAGTTTGTGATCAGAACCATCTGTCTTCTAGCTTGAAAGGGATGACTTGCTACTAAGTCAAATTTTTGTGATAGTTTTATTTTCTACCCATTATCATCTCAAGGGAGTTCTTTTCTTGTTTTAGTTTGCTCAAAGTTTGTTTTTTTTAAAAAAGTGGGTATTGACTTCTGAATCCCTGTTTTGTACCTATAAATATGCTCATTGCCTTCTTCATCTATGTGTGTGCTGACCTTAGAAAAGGAGTTGGGGGAATTTCCAGGGATATTTTATAACATTAATGTTTTCAAAATATGCATCTATCTGTGTATATTGGTTTGGGACCATTCAATAGCAAAAGCAGAATAAACTAAAAAGAGAACTTGTTTTCTCATTTACCGTAACTTCACACGGGTGAATTTAGCATCAAATTACGTCACCAGGGCTGTATTTCCTCAACTCTCTGCTGCCTTCATTCTCCTGTCTGACATGAGGTGAGCTGCTTTCCTCTATCCAGGTCCCTCTGCTATGCTTTCCTACATTGAAGCTTACAAAGTTTAGATTGAAACATGTACAAATTGTAAGCCCAAATAAACCTCTCCCCCTTCAACTGTTTGGGTGTCAAGTATTTTGTTCTAGTGATGAAGAAAGTAACTAAAACAGAAACCAAATGGATCTCTTCTTGCGATCTGGAACACACTTGTTTTAGTTACTTTTCTTGTTACTGAGACAAAATACCCAGCACCCAATGTTAAAGGAGGAAAGGTTTATTTAGCTCGCTGTTTGTAGAGGTTCGAGGCTTTCACGTGTGTCTTTATTTGTGCTGCTGTGGCTGCCTCAATGGCTTGAATTGATTCAAATCTTTTGAGCCTTTTTCACTTTGGGAAAGAGCCAGAAATCACAAGGTGAACAGGTTGGGAGGATGAGAACACATTTTAATTTTTTTTCCACAAGTCTGTCTTTCTATTAGATGGCACTTGGTAGTGGTACTTACTGTCTGTTTGCCCATCTTTATAGCAACACAGCAGTGCTACAGAGGGGTAAGAACAGTGAATGTTTGGAGTTTGGGTGAGTATTTCGGGAAGAATTAATGGCAATGTTATGTATATACACCAACTCTCTATGAGGAATATAATCAGTATGTACTGCAAACATGTATTTATACAAAATAAAAATTAAAACAATTAAACCATTCACTGTGTATTTCAGTTCTATCCCATACAAGTAGAAGAATTTGTTGCATAAGTATCAGTGAGAAAGCTGGTAAAACAAGAATCATTAGGACCGACTTAGCTAGCTGCTCAGCCTTCATGAGCAGCATGGAACCATTTCAGAATTTAGCTTCCATCTAAATAACCACCAAATCCCAAAGCCTTAAATTAAGGACATGAATGCATTGTTGGTTTGTGACAGTGGCCTAGTGAGGGTAAATGGCCCACAGAATCATGTAAAAATTCCCTCCTTTCAAGGGCAGCTAATTGACATGCTAAACTTCGCAGCATCTTGGGCCTTGTAGCCCACCCCTCCATTAGATTCTTAGGTGTGTCATGGGGACCCATCTTCTCTAGGATCTGGTGTCAGTGCCTGGGAGGAATAATTGTCTTGGATAACAATTACAGTAGAACAAAACTCTACTGCCATCTAATTACTAGTGTTCTGCTTCTTTCATAGAGAAAATACAGCATAAAAATAAATTTGAGTCATTCGTAGGCAAACAGATGCACCCTGAGACTATAATGTTAAGTGAAATAAATCAGATGCATGAAGTTAAATATTGCATGGGTTTCCTTAGATGAGAAGCCCAAGGCATAAATAAAGAGCAAAATAAAAGATTCATAATAGGAAGTAGGGAGAGAGAGCTCTGTCAAGTGGATCCAAAGATGGGAGGGAAGGAGGAGCAGAGAGAGAAAGGGATGAAAGAAGGAATTAAGATGGATTATGTACATGTACTAACTCCACACAAGGAATGTAAACATTATGTACTGCAAATATGCACTAGTAAAAAATAATTAGCTGGATGACTGTACTCAATTTGCGTCCTGGAACAATTTCCTTCCTCCCCCATGAAAGAACAATAACAAACAGTTCATAAACTGGCACATGTCATTGGATCCCTCTCTCTATAGCCCTGATCTCTTGCCATGTTTCTTTGTGAATGGTTCACAGACCACTTATTGTGGAGCCATCTGCAGTGCATATGCAAAATCTTCAACCTATTTGCATGGGATCTTGAAAATGGCAGTTTTTAATGAGGAAACAGGGTGACTTTTATGTGTGCTAACACTTGAGATCACTGAATGAATACAACACTTTATTTTGTACACAAGTAAAGGAAGTAACTTACCCCAAATCACACAGCATGGTACCCAAGTGTTGACAGCCTACCAAATGCTCATTTCTTCTTCCTTATCCCCCTTCCTGAAGGCACCCACGGGTTACTTTTTACATGTTGTTGTTTTCAGCATATACTCTAGTTGCAGATTACCCGAGTGCTTTGGAAGAGCCTGAATAACGTGGAGTTGAACTTCCTTCATGTCCCATGCAGAACCTGTTCAGTTCCCCAGGAGACAGCGATTGGTTCAGAGGTAGACACAGGACCCAAACTAACCCACCCCAAGTGAATGTCAGAATGCAAACCTGGAATCCTGATGCTCAGACACTCTCTGAATGCCTGGGGTGTTCATCCCCAAGCTGAGTGCTTGGTACTGCATTTGAATTTGCAACAAATTCATGAGATATATACTGGTATATAATAACAAGAAAGAGCAATTCCTACCTCATGGGTTTTTATTTTTTGGAAATTACAATAGCATCCTAGAGTTTAGAACAAATATTAGAGCAGGGCAAATTCACTTTTTTTTGTTGCTGACTTTAAACCTAAGGATGTGAACCTTGTATCTCTCTCTCTCTCTCTCTCTCTCTCTCTCTCTCTCTCTCTCTCACACACACACACACACACACACACACACTGTCTCTTCCTTTTCCCTACTCCTCTCTCCTTTCTTTCCATTACTAGGGGATTAAACCCAGGGCCTTCACATTGTGCTACATTCTCAGCTTCTCTTTTTTTTCTCTATTTCCCTCTCCCTCTCTTTCTTCTTGCCTTCCTTCCTGTCTTCTTTCTTTTGAGACAAGTTCTTACTGAGTTGCTAAATTGCCCAGATTAGACCTCCTGCCTCAGCCTCCCAGAGTGCTGGAATTGCAGGCTTACTCTACCAACCATATGTAGCTTCTGATTCAGATATATGGACGTTTTGTTCTTATAAATAAATGCCTTTTTTACTGCATACATAAACCTTCTGAACTCTAGCTTCAATATTCTCACCAATGAAAATGAAATTTGGTGTATGTCTCCTCTTTTAAGCTCTCTCTCTCTCTCTCTCAACAGAGTGGAATACCATTAACAGCAGAAATACCATTAAAAGTACTTGAAAAGTGAAAATACTAATATACTCACAGACCCTATGGATTGTTTGTGCTAAAAGTTTTGTAGTAATGTTAATTTATAATGGCATTTAAGAGGAGAACATGGCAGATAGATAGCAACAGCTACAGAGGCTCTCTGAGATAGCCAGCTTAGAATCTAGGAATGGTGCAATGTGGGGAGTCCTAAGCAAGGGGTGATATTCGCTGCCGACCCACGAACGAGCTAAGCTGAGAGAAACCAACTGGAAATGCAATCCCGGTGCTATGACTGCAACAGATAAAATCTCAGCTCTGAAGCTGGAACCAGAGCCTCTGGAAACTGCAATTTGAATTTCCTGCCACTGCTGCTG